TTATTACTGCTACCGACACTGCAACCACCACCGCGACTACGACGGTTTCCAGTACGACTTTGACTACGACTGCTTCCACTACTGCTTCTACTACTGCTACAAGAGCAACTACTACTATGACTGCTCTTGTCACTGGGACTATTACTCTCTCTTACTACGAACGCTACTACTACGATTACTACTATTACTACTACTACTACTACTACATCTGCTGCCACGGATACCAGCACTATTACTACTACGGCTACGACTACTATTACTTCTACTGCTTCATCGACTACCACTTCTACTACTACGCATATTCCTACTACTACGACTACTACTACTTGTACTGCTACTACTACTACTACTACTACTACTACTACTACTACCACTACTACTACTACTACTACTACTACTACTGCTGCTACGACTACTGCAAAAACGACAACAATAAGTACTGCTACGACTCCGATTGCAAGCTCTGTTATTGTTACGCCCACGATTATTATTACTACTATTGTTGCTACCACCGACTACTACTACTACTACTACTACTACTACTACTACGACTACTACTACTACTACTACTACTACTACTACTACCACCCCCGCTATTTGTACTACTATCAGTACAACTACGATTACTACTACGACTACCACTACTACTACTAATAATACTACTACTACTACGACGACTACTACTACTACTTCCTACTACGACTACTACTACTACTACTACTACCCCCGCTACTGCTACTACTATCAGTCCAACTATGATGACTACTACTACTACTACCACTACCACTACTACGACTACTACTACTACTACTACTACTACTACTACCACTACTACTACTACTACTACTACTACGACTACTACTACTACTACTACTACTCTTGCTACTACTACTACTACTGCTACTACTACTACTACCCTTACTACTACGACTGCTACTACTACTTCTTCCTCTACTACTACTACTGCTCCCATGATGATTACTACCACCGCACTACTGCTACTGCTACGGCTACTAATACTATTACAACAACTATTGCTATTTCTACAATTTTTTCTCATACTATTTGTACGACTGCTACTAATATTAAGTACTCTGTCTGGTTAGTGGCGGACGCTAATGAATTATCCAATCGCTTCGCCCACTCCGCCACCAATTTTTGCGCACCGCTGTGTAGGCTTGCCGAGCGGTCGTTGGCAGTGCGGAGCTGCAGCGTCGGCGCGTGCGTCTGTGAGACGTTGCTTTCGGCATGTGTGGGGTTGCAACAGCTCACGCGGAGCAGCCGCGTTGCGGTCGCTTGGACAGTGTGGAGAAGATGCCGGAGGCTCGTTGTTTTTTACGTGGTTCTTGGGTGTTTGCCGCCCTGTGGGGCGTCTGGTGTTTCGTGGGGTGTGTTGCCTGCGGAAGCTCGCTTGGGGGCCGTTCGAGTGAGAGGAGGAGAGATCTGATGCGATGATGAAACCTTCGTGCCGGAGGGTTGCGGGCTTTAAAAGGAAACATTGGCTCTCATCTTGTCCTGATGTCGATTGTCATTCCGATCGCGGGGCGCAGGACCAGCTTTGGTGGTTATTTTCTCTTCTATGATCCTCTCCCAGATTGTGTTCCCCGGTAAGTTGTTATGTGCATGCAGGTGGGTCAGCACTGGATTGCGAGATCGGTTTAAGTAAGACCGCCATTCCTGACTGTGTGCTCGTGAGGCTCGCGGTGCGTTTTCCTCTTCATGGTCCCTCCTTTCTCACGCTCCTGGATCCCATCTGCCTGGTCTCCTCGGAGCGCTGTCGTGAGATTCTGGAGGTCATTGCGCGCAGGAAGCTGTTGAGTGTTCTCTGAGGCTTTCAGGGGCGTCTTAACCTGGAGCCTTTTTGGGGCTCTTGGGGGCCTCTTTGCGGCCTCCTGACCGTCTCTTGGGGGCCTCTTAGGGACCTCGGGGGACTTGCTGGGGCTCCTCATGACCGAGGGCTCGAAATGTTGTTTCGTGTTTCTCCTTTGGGGCCTCTCTTGGGGCGTTGTTGGGGCCTTCTCGGGCCGTCCTGGAGTCGTTTTGGGCGGTCCTGTAGCCCTGTTGGGCCGTTTGGGGGCTCTCGCGGGGTTCTCTTGGATTTTCTCGGGGCGATATTGGGGACCCCGTCGGGCCACCCAGAGGCGTTGGGAAGCCGAAATGGGGGAAGCGGCCAAATCTGTCCCAAACCCCAGGGGAACCAATGAATTTTACCTCTTGGGGCCCTCTTGGGAGTGCCTGTGCAGGCCTCTTGGGGCGTCTGGGGGCGATCTCGGGCATCTTGGATCGATCTTGTGGCATCTCGGAACCCTCATGTTCTATCTTTGGGGCCTATTGGGGGCCTCTTTGGCATTTCCTGGGGTTCTCTGGAGGGCCTCGAGGGCGGCGCCCAGGAGAAAAAACATCTCAGACCCGACCTGGCCAGGGACCGCCCGGGGCACTTTGCGACCGGGGACCACCAAGGGCCGCTCCGCGTGCGCGCGAAGTAGAAATACTGTACGCAGTTGCAAGAAATCTCGGCGCGCCTCTGGCCCGTTGGGCCGGCGAATTTTCGGCGCTCCCCAGTGCTAAGATAATGTTCCGCTTTGGGGGCGGAACGATAGGACAGCCGAGGAACATCCATGTGTCACTGGGGATGCAGTTGAGATCGTATAGGGACGAGGACATTCGAGCGACTTCAGGAACAGCTTTGAAGATGAAGCTTCCTCGTTCCTTCGACGTGCTTTCAGCGCTCAGCATTTCGCTCCGACTGCTGTCCAATTTTCTTAGCGATCAGACAGACGAAATTCGCTAAGACATCGTAAGACAATCGCATTGCAGCTAAAGCATCCCACTTTTTTTGGTCGATGGTCCTGGCGGTTCCCTTGACAACTGCATAAGGGAAGCTTGAAAAACGAAGGTAGCATCACGGAAAGGGATGGCCTGCTAGGGGTCGGTGTCGAATGGGGCTAGAACGAAGATAAATCCGTTCCAGAGCGTCCCGGAACGGTTTCAGAGCGTCCGCGACGCCCGATACATCTTCCAGAGCCGCCGGATCTCAGAGATTCTCAATTCCCAGAACCCCGACGTTGTGATTTTTATCTAACAGCGAAGACTGATAGGTTTCTAGTAGGGTCAAAAGAGAGCATCATAACGCCCCAGGGGGGTCTGGGCGCGATCCGGGGGAGGATGTCGGGGACTCTTTTTAGCAAACAGTAACGCACTTCGTGGTCTTCGAGTTCCCAGAACTCCATTCCTGGGCATGATTTTGAATGCCCGGAGCCAACTGTAGGCCACTTCGTGTCTTCGAGTTCCCAGAACTCCATTCCTGGGCATGATTTTGAATGCCCGGAGCCAACTGTAGGCCACTTCGTGGTCTTCGAGTTCCCAGAACTCCATTCCTGGGCATGATTTTGAATGCCCGGAGCCAACTGTAGGCCACTTCGTGGTCTTCGAGTTCCCAGAACTCCATTCCTGGGCATGATTTTGAATGCCCGGAGCCAACTGTAGGCCACTTCGTGTTCTTCGAGTTCCCAGAACTCCATTCCTGGGCCACATTTTGAATGCTGAGGCAGCTGCTGAGGCAGGCTGAGGCTGAGGCTGAGGCTGAGGCAGGCTGAGGCTGAGGCAGGCTGTGAGGCTGAGGCTGAGGAGGCCGAGGCTGAGGCTGAGGCTGAGGCAGGCTGAGGCTGAGGCTGAGGCTGAGGCTGAGGCTGAGGCAGGCTGAGGCTGAGGCTGAGGCTGAGGCTGAGGCTGAGGCTGAAGGCTGAGGCTGAGGCTGAGGCAGGCTGAGGCTGAGGCTGAGGCAGGCTGATGCTGAGGCAGGCTGAGGCTGAGGCTGAGGCTGATGCAGGCTGAGGCTGAGGCAGGCTGAGGCTGAGGCTGAGGCAGGCTGATGAGGCTGAGGCTGAGGCAGGCTGAGGCAGGCTGAGGCTGAGGCTGAGGCAGGCTGAGGCTGAGGCTGAGGCTGATGCTGAGGCTGAGGCTGAGGCTGAGGCAGAGGCTGAGGCTGAGGCTGAGGCAGGCTGATGCTGAGGCAGGCTGAGGCTGAGGCTGAGGCTGATGCAGGCTGAGGCTGAGGCAGGCTGAGGCTGAGGCCGAGGCTGAAGGCAGACTGAGGCTGAGGCTGAAGCAGGCTGAGGCTGAGGCTGAGGCAGGCTGAGGCTGAGGCTGAGGCAGGCTGATGCTGAGGCAGGCTGAGGCTGAGGCTGAGGCTGATGCAGGCTGAGGCTGAGGCAGGCTGAGGCTGAGGCCGAGGCTGAAGGCAGACTGAGGCTGAGGCTGAAGCAGGCTGAGGCTGAGGCTGAGGCAGGCTGAGGCTGAGGCTGAGGCAGGCTGATGCTGAGGCAGGCTGAGGCTGAGGCTGAGGCTGATGCAGGCTGAGGCTGAGGCAGGCTGAGGCTGAGGCCGAGGCTGAAGGCAGACTGAGGCTGAGGCTGAAGCAGGCTGAGGCTGAGGCTGAGGCTGAGGCTGAGGCTGAGGCTGAGGCTGAGGCAGGCTGATGCTGAGGCAGGCTGAGGCTGAGGCTGAGGCTGAGGCTGAGGCTGAGGCTGAGGCTGAGGCTGTGGAGGCTGAGGCTGAGGCTGAGGCTGAGGCAGGCTGAGGCTGAGGCAGGCTGAGGCAAGGCAGGCTGAGGCTGCTGAGGCGTGACTGCGACTGCACTGCGACTGGAATGCGACTACGACTGCGAGAACAGCAGAATTCTACAACTGGATTCTCATCTGAATCTTAAGGGGAATGCTTCCAGATATGCTTCTACACATCGCTGTTAGGTTGCTTTGCCGGGATAATTTCACAACGGCGACCCCCAGAAGCCTGGACACCTTCCCCGGGACCAGTTTTCCATCCAGAGTCATTTTTTGACACTCCCGAGGCCCGGGAAGCGCCCCTGGAGGCCGAACGTCGCAGAAAACGTACCGTCGCGATCCCTCCACAGCGCGAGGGGGTTTTGGGCTTTCATTCCGCGCCCGCATTCATATCCTCGTCCTGGCTTCGTCTTGCGGCCCTGGCCGCGCCCGATCCAGGCCGTGCACGGCCCCACGGGCCGCATCGTGGCCCTGCCCGCAGCGCTGGCGGCGGGGTGCCGCCCAGCCGCGGCCTCGGCGCCCCCGGCGGCGCCTGGCGGAGGCCCGCGGGGGGGTCACCGCCCACCAGGGGTTGCGCGCGCGCAAGTGCCGCGCGCCGCTTCCTGGGGTGCCTCCTCCTCCTCCTCCTCCTCCTCCTCCTCCTCCTCCTCCTCCTCCTCCTCCTCCTCCTCCTCCTCCTCCTCCTCCTCCTCCTCCCCCATCCCAACCCAGCCCGACGACCCAAATTGACCCTCGATTTCCAGTGGGGGGGGTCGGGGGACAGCAAACGACACGTGTGGAACCCGTACCCCCCCAACCCGAAGCTTGGGTGTTCGGATAGGGTTGGGGTGGTTTGGTAGGTAGTCAGGGGGGGGCGCAGCCCCCGACACCTCGAGATCGCAGGCGATCGCAAACATGGATCAAGGGGGCGTGGATTAGCGACGGGTCCCGTTTCCATCGGAAATCGCGCATTCCCGCCGTCGACCGAAGCGGTTTTGGCTGCATTTTGGGGAGGGCACCTCCCCCGATCCATTGATTTGGCGACCGCGCGCCAAGTACATGGATCGCGAATCCATGTTTGCGCGCCCCCGGCACAATGATTTTTTCCCTACCCACAGATCCGGCGCTCCAACAAAAAAGCGGAAGCGGCGGGATTTTGACAGTTTTGGGCTTCCGGGGGCCGTGATTCGGGAGCGTCGAAGAAGGACTCAGGAGGAAGAAACGGCCCCAGGGAAGAGGTCCGGGGACCTCCGGGGCCGCATGCATCAAAACAATGGGAGCGGAAGGATGTTTGGGCAATGATTTTTGTTCCTAGACTCAACGCGGGTACAGTGCAAAATGCGTGCTGCTAGCGCGGCCCTCTGTGCGGCTTCTGGTGCAAATGGCTGCGGGGCGTGGGGAAGCGCTGCTGCTGCAAGCCCGTCTCTCCCGCCGGTGCTAAAATTGCGTACGCAACGATCTTGCCAGAAACGGAATTCAGACCGATGCGTAGATTATGCTCGAATCTGTCAATATCAATCGATGCTCAGAGACTGGGAGCGCGGCCCCGACACCTTGAGATCGTCGGGCCCCGATCTTTCGTCGAGGAGCGCAAAGATGGCATCAACAGCAATCGAGCCAGACGAAAGGGCAGGAAAGTCGCCGGGCGCGTTGCACTGCTCGCAAAGTTTCTGCTCGCAGACGTCCGAAGAGCAATGTCTGCCTCGGCTCAAGGGGATCGTGGATCTCCCGCGGTGGATCTGGGCCCTTTGCAATGAGTTACATTGCGAGTACAGTCAACCCGCGCGGTAAGGGTGGGCGCCCTTCCCAAGGGTTACCTTTGCATCGTTGCCTCCTCGGTTCATCATTGGCCACTTTCGCTGGCCGCGCCCCGCTCGCAGTGTGTCGACGTGGCCCTCCAAGGCCCTTGCGTCCTCACCGCGTATCCTCCTGCTACGGGCCGATTGCAGTGGAGCGCGCTTGCTCAGATGGGGACAGGGCAGGGGCTGGGGCACGCCGTCTGCTGCGTGCAGCCGGTCTCCGCCCCGCCGCCGGGCCTCTTCATCGGCACATGGGCGCCTCCCGGCGCCAAGAGGCGCCGGGAGAACCAGCCACGCGAGCTGACTCTCTTGCCTGCCGTTTGCTACCCTACCCTTCGGGGCCCCCCCGGATTAACTATCTCAGGAGGGGAAGGAACACACGGACACAATCAATCGTCGATTCCCCGGAAAATATGGGGAAATATGGGAAGTGGGGGGGAAGACAGGAACCCAGAAAATATATGAAACTATGGGGAATCATTTCATTTGTGTGTATTCATTTGTGTGTCCTTGGGCTCCTTGAGACAGGGGAAGCGCCAGAGGCACCGCCAGGGGGGCCCAGCGCCGACCCACGAGATTTGCGCGCGACGTCCGCCAGTTGATGTTTGTGCTGTTTGCTGCTCCTCGAGTTCGAGCCTCGAGTTTGGAGTGTCTGTGTGTGTGCGTGTGTGCGTGTGTGTGTGTGTGTGTGTGTGGCAGTTGTTTTTCTTGTCTGGGCCTTCGGGAGGGGTCTTCTCGTCGCACGGCTGGATCCGCCTCGAAGCTTTGGTCAGAAGGCACCCCTCAACAGGTCCAGGCGTCGACTTTAGACTCTCCAGGACCCTGACGTCGTCTCGTCCGGGGGAGCACGGTTCTAAACCTCGACATCGTCGAGCCTCGATTCTAGGCCTCCCAGGTCGGGTCAGAGTAGGCGGGGTCAGAGGATCGCGCCACATTGTCGATGCTTCGGCGATTTGGCTCGATGCATGGCCGACGAGGCCGACGCACCGCCAATGCATCGGCGATGCATTGGCGATGCGGCGCGATCCTCTGGCCCCACCTACTCGGACCCCCTTCGGCAGGCCTCTGTCGATCGTTCGAACTTTGAGCTGCGATTGTTTTGGTAGTTGTTCGGCTTTTCCGGACCTCGGGGTTTGCGCCTGGCCCCCATTGCCTCGAAAGTCTGGGCGGAAGGCACCCTGGAAAAGGTCCAGGGGCCGACTTAGATGCTTCCGCCTTCCGCTGACCTCCAGAAGTTGCGGGGAGTCCACGGTTGAGGCGTCGTGGGCTTCTTGGGCATTACCTGGGGACTCGTGAGCGTTTTGGGAGCTGTTTGGGGGCCTGGTGGAGCCTCTCGGAGGCAGTTCTGAAGCGTCTTGGGGGCTGTTTTAGGGCCTCTTGCTCCCCAGAACAGGTCCAGGGGCCGGCTTTATCGGGCGGGTGGTCATTGGGGGGTGACCTAAATGGGGGGGTGAAGAGAAGGGCCCTGAAGAGGCACTTTGGGGCCCAAAAGGGCCCGAAAGTGAAGAGAAGGGCTCCTTTTCGTTAGAGACAGCAGGGGCCCGAAAGGAGCCCTAAAGTGCCCCTTCAGGGCCCGTTTCTTCACCCCCCCATTGCGGTCACCCCCCATTACCACTCGCCCGGCTTTCGACTCTCTCGGGCCGTGACGACGTCGAGTCGGGGAGGATCGGAGGGTACCTATTATACACCAACACCGATCTTGGCCCAGGATCACCCTGGGCCCAGGATCGGTGTATATGCCTTCTTGCGCAAGGCAGGAGGGCGTATACACCGATCCTGGGCCCAGGGTGATCCTGGGCCAGGATCGGTGTTGGTGTATAGTTGGTGCCCTCCGATCGGGGAGGAGGATCACGACGGAGGAAGGCTTTGGGCCACCTTCGCCCGCGCGGGGCCCTCGCCGAGAGCCCCCGGTGACCTCCAGCAACAGGCTCGGCTCGCTAGGCACCTGTGCCGCTGGGTGCCTTTGTGGCGTCCCAGGAAAACAGGCGGGTTGGCAGCCCGATCGTCTCCACAGCTCGACGGGGCTGTGGGAGAGACTCTTGCCTTGTGGTTGGCCAGCCACAGTAGGTGCGGGCCCGCCGTACCACCCCTGAGAGGCCCGATGGGGTTACTCGAAGGGGTCCCCCGACGTGGGGGGCGCGGGAACTTAAGTCCTTGGGCAGCGGGGCCTCCGCTACTTGAGGCTGGCGGCCAAGTGGGGGTGGTGCCGGTGGCCGTGTCTCGGGGTGGCATCTCGAGGCACCTCGCAATGGCGGCGCGGATAACGCCGGGGGCGGTCCGTGCCGCCGTTCGTGTTGCGAGGTCCGACTGCATGTGAATTCATGCAGTCACCTTGGGCACCTCCCTTCGGGTTGTGTCGCCCAGGTGTTCTGTCCGGGCACAAAAAAAAAACAGGCTCGGCTCGCAGGGAGGGGTGCAGAGTTCTGGCCCGCCAGAAGCTGGTTCTGACTTGGGTTTTCGCGCACCTCCGAGCTGCGGAGGCGAGCACTCCAGATTTCGTAATAAAAGGGAGGGGGTCTCAACCCTCCCAAACGAGAAGTTTTAGACCCCCCCCCGTGGGAGAACCCTCCAAAACATCGTCCCCAGACCCCCCCAGGCCCTCCAAGATAGCCTGGAAGAGACCCCCTCCCCCGAAATGAGACCCCCCTCCCTTTATTACGAAATTTGTAGTAGGTAGTGGAGCAGTGCGCAGACCAAATATGGGCTCGACGAGCAACAGTATTGTTCGGGACGCTACCCCGTGATGTCCATATTGTGACCATCCTTTTCGCTTCCCCTCCTCCTCCTCCCCCCTCCTTCCTGCCCATCCTCCCCCTCTTCCTCACTCCTACTCTCCACAGCATGGATAATCTGCGCCGTGATTTGCAGTGTCAGCACCCTGATTGCGGGCAGCGCGAGCTGACGCAAAACACACACAGATGTATATGTATGGATGTATGTATATACATATATATATATATATATATGTGTACAAACATGTGCATACATACAGACATACATACATGCAGACAGACATACAGGCAGGCAGGCATGCATACATACAGACAGGCATGTATACATGCATGCATACTTACATACATACATACATGCATGCATGCATGCATGCATGCATACATACATGCATGCATGCATGCATACACATATACATAACTATCTCCATACATACATGCATACATACATACATACCTGCATGCATGTCTGCATACATACATACACACGTACATACACACAGACGTACGTGTACACATACATACATACACACAGCACACATACATGCACATGTGGATGCATACATGCATACATGCATACAATCATACATGCATACATGCGTACGTACGTACACGTCTATGCTCATCCCCCCAGCATTCCATCTCGACTGATTATCCTGATCTCCTCATCCTCCTGCTCGTCTCTCCTTCTCTTTCTTATTGCCAGTATCCTCCTCATTATTTGGTTTCCTCTCATCATGCTCATCCTTACCATCCTGCCAGGTTTTCAGTGTCCACGAGGCAAGTTTCATTATGTATCTGCTTTCCATGCTCACGACAGCTTTCCCTTTGAAAACACAGGCTGTAAGAGTCCACGACCCAGTTTTCAATGTGAGAACACATATGTTTCATGCTCACGTCGAAACACAAGTTCCCCGAGCACACGACACACAACGATTGTGAAGACAGGTTTTTCATACTCACGACCCATTCGCCCTTGTGATAACACAAGTTTTCCGAGTCCACGAAGCAGCTTTTATTGTGAAGACAAGGTT